TACACACCTTGGTTCACATTCACTTCCACATCCCTATCACATAGGGGGTGGTGCCCGTGATTTTTTAAAATTACGGGCCCCACCCCCTATGTGAGATGGATGTGAAAGTGAAAGTGAAAGTGAATGTGAACCAAGTGTATAAATGTAACATTAATCTATTTTCTTTGTCGATATGATATTAAATAACTAATTAATTCCAGAGTACCATATATTTGTGCACGAGACATGCTCTGTGTAATAAATGTTCCTAACCCACAAGATGCTTGCCTCTTAACATAATTCTATCATGTATCTCATGTGTTACATATTCTATTTGAGTAATGCTACTTGCAGTCGTTCACTGTAGCAATCGTTTTATGTGGCATACACATGATATGTAGTTATTTGAGGCATTAATGTTGTAGTTTTTTTACCACATTTAATGCATCAAATACACACTTGACATGCGTGTGTCACATAGGGCGACTGTTGCAGTGAACGACTGCAAGTAATATTATTCTATTTTATATGATATCTTCCATGAAACTGGTGTCTTTAAAGACATCGACCCACAAAATATGAATAACTTGATACACGAATTTTCATTGAATGAAATCAATGAGAATACATTTAAATGTACTCTTTTTTGTTCAAGTTGTCCCAATAGTTTCCGTGACAATTTTAACGAGACGACATTTTATTAGTCTTCATTTAACATTTTTGTTCCACTACATTTTTATCAAACAAACGAAACAATAACTGTAATATTCATTCAAGGAGGAGTTTTGCAAAATAATTGATAACAATGAATGACTAGTTAATATCAAGACGTGTATGACTTTCTCGCTGTAGAATAATTCAAATTGTAAATCTCATTGGAACCAATTGATATGGATCCATTACTATTCACAACTTCGACCAACAATAAGTTATTTAAAACTTACTTATTTACTTATAAGTAATTTTAAGCTTAGCCAAACATTCACAGGCACTCGTACAAGAAAATAGACTACTACTATGAAGAAAATACTCGCACTATCAACAATACATGTTGTAATTAATCCATATATGCAAATTGCAATAACATTTCACTCTTATTAAATCCATAAATTATTTGGGATGCTCAAATCTAAAATGTCTCATCTTCCCCTTTAGCCAAGTCAATAAATGCTCGAGTTTTGTCACAAAAGGATATATCTACATCTCAAAATCTATGCAGCGGTTACCTGGCTACTAATCATCTAGAAGTGGACTCCCTTCCTTCACGAGCACAAAAAGGCCACCATCACCTCTAGAGATTCGAAAATCCTTGTCAAGGTATGTTATAAGAAGAAAAGATTTTGCACGCTCACCGGGAATAGAAGCCTTGAGAGGAGGCTGACCAGAAATAGTCCGTCCTATGCTTGCCACAGCATTTTGAATGGGATTCAGAGATTGCTGCAAAGGCGATAAATTTATTTTTTGGCCAAAAATGTCCAAATTTTCTGGAAGATTTATGCTGGACTTGATTTCTGGAGGATTAAATTTCCCTTCCTTAAATTCAACCTGCACAACTTCCCCTGAGTTAGACATTCAGTGTAAAATGTCAATTATCACACAATGCAATTTGTACATAACAGGTCACACAATAACTAAACAGAGTATGACAATTCTCCGAAAAGCAAAAGCAACAATGTTTTGAGCTTTCCAAAATATGAGCACAATTTTAAATTCCTTCTATCAAGTCATTCAGATTTTTGAACCCTTACTCATCAATACTCATTAGTAGCATGTCTAAGAATAACTAACTAATATTTGGGTAACAGCTTGTTCGTTTGATTCATTTCTACTTTTCCCCAATATATCTTGCTATCTGCCTCACTGAGAGCGCTAAATGTGATAGTGATACCTGTATTCTTGATGGGCTTCGAACTTCAAAGGACGCAGAAGCACTAAAAGAGACAGTAGCAACAGGGCTTGACAGTGTGGTGGAATTCTCTATGGTAAGGCTGCTTGTATCAATTTCTTGGCCAATCTTATCAACTTTCAGCAAAGGAATGCTGCTTACTGCCAACAGAGGCAATAATTCAGAAAATGCTGTATACCTGTTACAGAGAAAATCAGATAAATGGTTGCAATTTTCTGAAAGATTAAAAAAAAAAGTATATAAATGATTAACAACAGGGTAAGCTTAAACAGGCGGGTTTATTAACAGATAAGGATTGGCATGGTTGTACAAAGCTTTGCACATACATTGGGAATTATTTCTACTAAATCTATAGTGAAATGGATTCGACCAGTACCTGCAGAAGTAAAATTAAATACAGATAGGTGTTCTAAGGGAATCCAGGTCCAGGTGCCGAGGGGTGGAATCATTGGGGAATATACAAGCCATTTGTTGGTGAAGGATACGGACATTGCTCTAAGCCTCTAACAATGTTGCGGAACTCGGGGCACTTCACACTGCTTTATAAATGTGTTCTAAATTGGGACTCAAAAAGTTCTGAATTGAAATAGATTTTCTGCTTGTATTCATTTTATTTCATCCCAAGGAAAAAGACTGGAATCTTCAATATCTTATAGCTTCTATTTTACATCAGTTTCGAACATTACTTACAGGATCACACACATTTATAAAGAAGGAACCAACTTGCTAATGCTGGTTTGTCTTTAGATGGGTTAAAGACTCTGACAGTGGAAGACATGAACTCTAAACTTCGTGATCTAATCTGGTTAGACAGATTAAGGAATCCATACATAGATTCAAAAAGAAAGGATGATTTTGCAGCTTTTTTAAACTTGTCATGGAGATAGTATCTCGAAGTTGCTCGTTCTCCATCTCCATTTCATGATTTATACCTACGTGGGGTACCAAACCCACTAGCTAGGCACAGGTGGTGTTCCGTAATAAAAAAAAACATAAGAACAGGATATAGAACTGTTTAGTAAATAACTTCGCAAAAAAGAAACAATTTTAAAAATACCTATCCCCTGTGCAATAGAGATGATTCAAGGCCCAATCATGTGTTCTTTCCATTCATGATAGTATAAGATTATCATCAATCCAGTTTAATTAATTTAGGGATTTCTCTTGGATTATACTATTATATTATTTAACACTCTTGTAATACCCATATATCCACAGACGAGTACTTCAGAATACCTTTTTTTTTTTGAACTATGGAACATATGAATAAGAAAACAGAAAAATCGGTAATGAGCAATGAAGTCAGTATTGTATCAACTATCATAAAATATTTCTATTTGAAATCAGCTGCAATATCTTATTTATGATTTTTCATTTTTTTTTCTTTTCAAACAACAGTATTTTGGTACTTATGATACATTCAACTTTCAAAGACACAGGTAACATCCAATATATGTCTTATTCCAATTTTCATTGTGTCGTTAACTTGCTTAGGAAGAATTCGATGAAGGAAGGTATAATTTGTTAACGAACAAGAAAAGAAAATGGTGCAAAAAGAGAAGAATTGAGAACAAAAAGAAATCAATTTTATTCCTATAAATGGGTTTAACATAACAATGAATAAGTCATTTATTTATAGAGCAAGAAACTGAAAGAAGCTAAACAAACAAACCTCTAATAAATTAAAATCATATCGAAATACTCGAATTAATCTAGCGTCTGTTTGAAATCCATTAAAATTAGGCCACCGATTGATACTCATTTTAATGAGTTTTTTTTACCTCATTTTCCTATAGTATTTGCCCGATAACATGTTGCAACCACTCAGATTTTCGTCAGAGATGGATAAAGGAAGAATAATGCCGTTGACCCTTGATCACTATTTTGCCCTCAGATGCAATTGGTATTGTACATCATTGCCCTCCACCATTTTTAACCCTACCATCAATTGAAGGCCAGAAATGGAAAGTTTAAAATTCCAAAATTCAGCTTACAGCCTAAAACGCATGTGGCCTCAGTAGTTGTTAGGGAAGCCGTCCTTTTTGTCTAACTTGGGGCCTACACTAGTTGAAAAATAGTTTGAAAATATTGGTAAAGAATGGGGGCCAAACACACACTAGAATTGGCCAATTTCATTTTCTGCCACCGTGGGATCATATTCAATGCATTTGTCGGTTGGGGTGAAAAAACATATTTCACTGTTGACTTTTGGAAACATGATGACAGATACAAACCTTTATTTTCCCAATTTACCCTTCCATTAAATGGTTCTACCATGTTCATGTTGGTTGCATTTGGGAGGGTTATTTCTGTAAATTGATTTAGAAAAATGAGAGTGCTTCGTCCAAATGGGTTTCAATGTGTTTAGTCAAAATGAAAGTGTTTCAAATTACTTCTGTGCACGTAAGCTTTTTAACAATTATTTTACTATTGTGTAATGAGAACCTCATTAAAATCTCATTTTAATGAGATTCAAACGGGGCCTTATCGAATGTCAATATATTTTAAACAAACTTTTATTTTAAAATCCTAACTAAACTATATATCTATATTTATCTGTGTCTTCATCATTTCTCTGGACTGAGAGAACTCGACTTTGACGAGGTAGATTGAAACTTTATATTCTAAGGAGGTCAATCTTTTGTCTTAAGTGTCGATATTGTACCCTTGACAACATGTGGCTGAATTCATCCCAAGTGGGACGATCTTTCGTATGACCCAAATATCGAAATTGATCATGTAACATCAACTGAATCTGTAAATTATCCCCAAGAATATTATTTGACCAAGGGAAATGTATTAAACTCCAAATAGTAACAACTTGTGCAACTTAAACACAGAATTTTCAATTGGTTGTGCAAAATGGGAGCACAAGGAATTAGCGCTGTAGATTGGCCTGCGAAAAAAAATGATTGTAACATCGAAAGCTCGAATAGACCCCGATAAGGAAACAATTCTGCTATATTAAAAATATAACTTTTCATTCAAGTGTGATGACAAGTCAAATTGATTATCTACATATGCATGTTTTAGGCTATTGGGTTTGGTTTTTGTTCGATGATAGATGGGGTGGTGATGTAGATGGAGCAACCAACGGCTGAATGGGGTTCAACTGACGAGTAAGATGTTGATTGGAGCAGTCGACGAAAGGTTGCAGAAGTCGAAGCTCGATGTAGTGGTGGAAGAGAAGGGAATGGTGGAGATATTGGCGTCATCATTGAACGTGGAACCACGAAATAGTGCGGCTGGTGCAAGACGGTCAACGATTGCTCTAAAGTTGTCAATGGAGGATGGTGCCCGCATTGAGGTTGATTGCCGGCGGGAGTGGCTTTGGATTAGGTTTTTGAATAAGATGGAGTTTGAGGATTTGTGTTGGGTTAGGTTTCATGTAATGGCCTGGACTTGTTTCTAATATGATGGTGGGCTGGGTGTGGATGGCTTTTGGTATAAGGAATAATGGGCTGGAGGATATCTTTTGGGCTAGGGTATATGTGGCTATAAGGTTGATACGGATAATGGGTTGGTTGGGTTGTAGATATGGGTTCTTTTGGAATGGGTTGTATTGGTTGTTGGGTATATAGGCTATTGGATGCTATATAAGTGGGTTGTTTGGACTGAATGGTTTTGGGTTTTGGTAATCGATATTCTGTTGGGTGTATATGGATTTGGTTGGCTATTGTTTTGTTTAAAGCAGCACAAATTAGGGCACTTCTGGAATTGAGGGTTTGAACAGCAACACATGGAGGACACTAACAAACGACCTTTTTTTTCCGATTTTTTAAAATTAAAACAACCAAACTAAAGATGAACAAGATGGCATCTTTCTTTTAGATTTTTATTCTTCTTTTCAACTAACTAAAGAGGAAAAACTGTGCATTTGATTGTAGCCGAGATGAATTTTTCTCGTGTTTTGTGCTGTCCAAAGGTGATTGTGTATGAAAGGTGATTGTATGGTTTTGGATGGGTGGTGAAAGGTTGTGGTGTGTGGATTGAATGAAAATGGTTAGTTGGTTAAGGTTTGTGGATTTTTCAGATTTGAGTGAGTGTAGGTCAAAGGAGAACGAATTACTTTGATACCTGTAATTTGCTAACAAACAAAAAAGAAAGGGGTCCAAAGAAGAGAAGAATTAAGAGCAAAGAAAAATCAATTTTATTCATATAATCGGGTTGAATATTACAATGAATAAGTCTTTTATTTATTGGGCAAGAAACTGAAATAAAACAAATTTCTAATAAACTAAAATCTTATCGAAATACTTGAACTAATCTAATCTAATGTAAATATAGTCAATCCAAACTCTTATTTAAAATCCTAACTAAACCCTATCTCTATCTTTATCTATATCTATATCCGGAATCCCCATCAGAATTGCCGTCAGTTTAGAATAATTTTCAGAGGCCAACACAAATAAATCCTTATATTTCCTAATTAGAGTAGTCTGTATTCTAGTACATGTTCTTTAGGTATATAAATATTTTGGTAATCTTTTTAGTTTCTTTATTCAACAAAGTGGGTCACTATGAAAGAATGATGCTTTGTTGGGTGGACTCGTCTAAACTCAGTGACCATAAAGTTCTTCTATCTTCCCCTCATCTACATCTTATCTTTTCTACTGCTTCTTAAGCAATATTCTTAGGCATGTTCATCAACGCTCAAAGAGGCCAAAAAATTCACTAAACCATCTTTTCTTTGGAAATTCATCTCTGAAACCTTCACCACACACATTAGCCACCTAATCCACATCAAACCTACCGTAAAATCTACCCTGGTTGGTGTTATTACTTCAACTTGACTGTGAGAGAGTCATATTTCAAAGGGAACGATGAGTCAACATTCATTAATTGGCTTCATTCATTGGAGCAACATTTTGCTAGGTGTAATTTATCAGGTTGTCAAAGAATTAGGACTGTCAAGATGAAATCTGTTGGTAGAGCACGGTTGTGGTGCCATCACATTGTAAAAGATAAAAGGAGTATTAAAAATGGCATCTAATAAGCACTTGTCAAGATACAAAAGACAAGCTCATGAAGAAGTTAACGCCTGCATATTGTTTCCTTTCATCATATGATATAATGCACCTCAAACATACTTCAGACATTCTCCCCAATATTCTTCAGACCTCTTTGTTGCCAACACAAAATTCTTTTCAAGGAAACATAATCGAAACAAACATGCAA